TTTATGTAAACCGCTGCTACTGCAACACTGCATTTTCCCTTAAGAAATGAATTACCCATCTATCTTAGCAAGATGATATGCAAGCTAATCAAGGCTGGCAAAGGATTTTTCACATTACTAAGATATGTTAAATTTGTCTGGCAGTCGACAGAATACAGTTCAACCAAGAAGCTACCAATGATGGAGGAAGAGTCAAGTACCGGTGGTACAGATTAACTGGTCAACTGGTGACTTTCTTCTGAATGCAATGGTTGCTTGAAGTGACTGCAATGCAGTTTCAGAGAATATATTGTGCAGAAATCATTTCTAATCAAATGACAAATCTAGTAAACCACCAAACTCCTTGTTTAAATATACAGCACAGGTCAAATAGCCACCAGTGTTGCACAGATAACACAATCAAATTGTCTTGTGAAAGATCAATGTTGGATTTGTAAAACCGTTCACATTTCTATCTCCAATATTTTGCCACAGTGAACAGATTTTAGAAATAACTATCATAATGTAATTCACCATCACAAACTACAGCCACCAAAGTGATCACAGAGTTGACTCAACACCTCTCTGACACAGTCACAACAAAAGCTGAAGATGCTAAAGGTGGAAATAATTGTATTGTGATAGTTTGTACATGGGTTCATATTCTGGTGTGTATTTTAAGCACCATACTTTAATAAAGATATGCTGTAGATAGCATTTGTGGAAAGATGAGGTGGTCTGAAAGGTGTTGACCCACTGGAATGACCAACATTATGGCCAACTAAAGCAAATATATGACTTTTTTGTAACATATTTTACATGCATTGTTTTATATTACATGTGCAGTAATCAGTTTCAAATGCGCTGAGAGAACATATGACGGCAGAATCAACTAGCTGAAACAGTAAAGTAAAATAAAGCAGACTCAACTTTCAGGTTTGGCTTAAGGTTTCACAAACGCTGTCACTGCGCAAATGTGATTTGTTTATCAAGATGCCATGTTCGATCTGAAAAGAACAACAATGTTAGGAATTTTCTCGTGACTCACAGACGTGCATCTTCCTCAAACTTCATGTGTCCAGAGCAGTGCGCCCCAGTCACAGAGCAGAATCATGTCATGACAGCACATGCCCACTCCCTGCATTGTGTACACACCTGACCTGGAACAAAGTGGACGACACGATACTATCCAAGCCCGTCCTGAGACAGAAATCTCACTGTGAGCCACACTTTTCAACACATTGAGGAGACAGCCTGACACTGCAGCACACAGAGGGAGAGGTGTGGGTTTGACAGCCCGCTACAATAATTCCATCCTGCCATTACCTGCCCAGCCAGTCACAGTTATGCTCACAGAGACAGATGCACAAACGCGGCTTGCAAGCAAACATGCACGCGCATACACATAAGCATGTGTGCAACACACACCAAAACACAGAGGACTCATTTAAAGGTGATGCCAGTGCATTGCCTCTCATTGTCAGGTTGCTGGATGAGTGTTGTCAATTGAGCTGACAGAAATAAGCATATTAGCTACAACAAACTCTGGCAATGTCTCTCTCTCGATTTGAGTCAAGCAGCATAAAGAAGCGCATGATGCTAAAGGCAGCCCACTGAGTTTCACTTACATGTGCGTCTGTTCACACCTGGTTTGCTTGAGCACTGAAACGAGGTCACGGTGTCACAGATTATTCTACCATCTGACATCTAATGTCAGATAGTTCCTGATATATATATATATATATATATATATATATATATATATATATATATATATATATATATATATATATATATATATATATATATATATATATATATATATATATATATATATATATATATATATATATATATATATTATTTATTAATTACACATACACACTATTTAATTTGTACCGTAAGCACCAATTTATACCACGGGAAATTTCTTGTATGTAAAAATGTACCTGGCAATAAACCTCATTCTGATATCAACTCCACTGGTAAAAACTACACAAAACACATGCAGGTATCAGATATATTTTTTTAAATTATTATTAAAATATACAAAGCATGCCTCTGCCTGCTTCACAATCAAATCAAAAATAGCAATTACATTTTCTCAAACTGTACTTACACCAGTGTCTTCCTGAAAACATTGTTAATTCTTATATCAAGATACTGTGTCAAAAATACAGTGGTATTTGATTTTGGCCTTACCACCATACTCTACTCAAGGAGCTACATGCAAATACAGCAGCACAAAGAGTTGAGGTGCAGAAATACAATTATTCTTCACAGGAAAAACTTTCCACCATTAAGCTGTGAGTCAGGTCCCATCAGTGCATTCTTATGGGGATCAAAACTACTGAGGGGGTCGCTATGCCTTAGTTAGCATATAGCTTTATCACATGTTGAGCTGCTTATTGAATTTCACAGCTTCACCCACCCATGACCTCCCAGTGTTGTCATGTGAGCACGCACAGGCACCAATCGCAACAGAGAACTCTCTTAAAGAGAGAATAGTGGATATATGGGTCTGGAGTGTGTGTATGGTGGAAAGGCTTGCATAGCCACACTAGCAGGTCAGTAATGTATACTTTAAAGCTATGGATAGAGATACAGTGTTCAGACAGCTTACACTGGGAGTCAACATTTTTAATAATGCTCACTTGTGGGAATCACATTTTACACAAGACTGTAAAAGTATCCTCACAAATGAGGAAGCGTTACAAAAGGGATGCAGGGGATGTACATAGGAAAGGCTTACAACAAAAAAAGTAAAACTATCGCTGTTGACTTATTTTAGCTTGCTATACAGATTTTCAATGTGAACCATTCAAACACGCTGTCTACAGGAGAAAAAGATAAAGCACTATGTAACAGATCACTTTACCCACTAGCAAACCATCAATCAATAGTTCATTGATATGAGCCCCAAATGGTTCGAGCACCACTTCATTACTTCTGCACCGCTTCTCTGCCCATACCAACCCTTTGATGTTTAGTAATGATATCTGACATTTGGGATTAGCCAAACTCAAAATTCATAATGAATTAGTAATACCTGAGTCATACATATTTGATTCTAAACATCAAGTCCTTAATGTGACAGATTCAAGGATGAGAAACATAATGCCAGCCTTGATCTCCCTGCAACCAACACGCATAAGGTTTGTTTCAGTCCGATTTCATCAAGCTGTTTGCCAGACATAACAGGCTTTCACTTCCTCTGAGGTAACGCCAAGATATCTACTATTCAAGTGTCCAAGTATTTTGTACCATGCACTCTCTATCCCCCTCTGTTAAATTTTTTCCCTGTTAAAAGGGTTTTTAATATTCATCTGACTCGAGGGTCTAAGGACAGAGGGTGTCCTGAGGCAAATTTGTGATTTGTGATACTGGGCAATATAAATAACAGGGACTTGACAAAGCGATCAGGATCTGATGGCTATCATCCTGTGTGCGTTTTTTGGGGGCAATTACTCAAAAGGCAACCAGTTACTGCAAGCTAACAATGATATGAACATCTTGCTTATTGCTAGCCGTTTGATAACACTAATATGGAAAAGCTCTGGCATTAACTGAATGTGGGTGCAGAGAGATTACACTTACCTATGTTCGTCATTTAAGTGGCTGATTACGTTTTAAACCAAAAGCACTTAAATGCTATCACAATTGTTCTTGCTTGTTCAACTTGTTTCTTATCATATTCATGCAGTTGGGTTTATCTGTGTATTCAGGTTCAGTTTACCAAAGGCAGCCCTCAAACTCCAACCCTTGTGATAAACTGAATGATCAGTTATTTTGGCACATTTACAATGACTGGGACACCTTACGTAAAAGGGAGGTCCATACTACGCAAAACTGTGTACACACACAAATACAGATTATGTTAGTCTCCTTAGGTCATAGATCATACATTTCCTTGGACTAATGTTGGTGGTTTACAGCAACATATGTTTTAAATTTACAATTACACACAGGGCTGGGCAATAAAATGATAATTATAACTAATATAATTTTCCTCACTAAACAATATAACAAAAGTTCAATAAATGTTTGAGTTAATTAATTTGAATCACAAACAAGTTAGCATTTCATTTTCTATTAAGATATTTATTTTGTTGAGGAAAAGGGGCTGAAAAAGTTTTACTTTACTTTTGAATGTTCTACCTCAGATTTGTTAAATGATCCACTGTTTGGCATCAAGTGTTTGTCATGTTCTGACCCTAAAGAATAGTTTAAAACCACAATGAACCATCTTGTTTCTTCAACTTTCACTCAGGAGCAAAAATCAGCCTTTAAACTTGAAAGAAATAATGATTTGATATTTATCATGATAATTATCAATATATCATATCGATATTATTGTGGTAACATTTCTGACCATATCGCCCAGCCCTAGTTACACACAATCACAGTGCCTTGCTCACAGGCACTTCAATAATGGATTCATTCATTCATTTATCCATTAACCTGAAACATATTTTTCCAGCTGGTCTGAACACTGTGTGCAAACGACAGATTTTACAATATGACACAATGTCAATCAGTTAAATTGAGGTCTCCACATCTCCAGCACAGACAACAATTTTCAACACACACACACAAAAAAAAAAATCACTTCTATATAGCTTCGTGGCCTGAAAGTCATGAAAAGGGTTTAGAAAGAAAAGCACCTCATAACCATCATCTCTTTTACTTGCCAGATCAACTATGCTAGTCCTGCTGTTGAAATGGCAGCCCCCTCTAAAGCAGCTGCCACAAGGTGTTCCTTCACGTCCTGACAGAGGAATCTTTTCTTTTATTTACATTTATCGATCGTTCCTTTTATCCTGCCACAGCGTGACACCAGCCCAGTTCTAACACTCATTCAGCTCCTTGATGTTTTGATGACACTCTGACCACCTATAGACCGCGGACGCACATTCAATTGCACATGATGTAAAGATGCATGTCTCCCAGTCACAGACTTGTAGAGACTGACAGCATATGCATACAGGTGACTACAGGTTGCATGTGCATCGGTCACCTACCTGAGCTGATTGAAGCTCAGATCCAGCCTTCTTGCAAACTGGCCATATGTCTCTCCAAGGAAGTCTGGAAAGTCCTTACAGTCATGTCCGATGAAGGAAAGCTTGAAGAATAAAAACAATCACAGATTTTTGTGAGATAAGTAGAAATAATACAATAGCATTCCTGGCATGAGCACAGCAAATATAAAACTGTTTCAGGATAAAGCACCTATAAAACAACAATGATTTGGGACCATTCAAATTTATTTTGAGTGATATAGGACGCTATAATCCAGCAGTTAACTCTACAGTGAGGACGTTTTATTAACACCCTGAGGAGTAGGAGTTTGTAACTGAAGCCATGCTATTCGTTTTGCAGATATATAGCCTACTCGTTTGCTTTATAATTTGCAGTGATCGTTATACATACATATTGCATAATACAAAACAGTTTCGACATTGGCTGCTACGCTGCAATAAGTACACTTTCTCACATATTGCTGCAACTTTGAGGCATTATTCCACACAGGGGAAGTAGTAGGAGGAACTGCAACACTGAAAGTCACGACTGTAACATTAGCTACTGTGTGTCACATGACACTGGTGGTGTCGAAGAAATAAACAAAACCCATATCGGCTACATTAAGCACCGATAACCTCCACTTTTAAAACTGTTACTGATGTAATATCGCCCAAACATGCGTAGGGTAAAGTCCGACGGAAACAGTTTCCCAAAAAAACTTACCTGAGTCCCATTCAAAGCGACCGACAACTCGTTATGTGCCATAACTTTATCCGGAGGATGACAGCCCACTTGAAATGTTTTTTTTAGATAACTTAACTTAGTTGATATCCGAAGTGCTGCTCACATAAGAATCACGCTGTTGTCAACATGAAGTGATGATGTTTGTGGATGTAGCCTGGCTACTTTAAAGATCTACTGGCGCTTTCCAATTGACTTTACAGTTTCCGCGTGCCGTCCTAATCAGCTGACCTGCTGTTGTGCGGAAGCACGTGGGCAGTGTTTGACACTGACACAATTTCAGTGCTGCTGACTGTCTCCTGAAGAAAAGACAGGATAAAATTACCCTTATATGTGTGAAAACCTACTGTTTTCTAAAACTGTGTTTTACTTTTCTGTGTAAAAACCATTCACAGCCAGGTAAGATCATTAGCACCTGTTGAAAAGCATCAGTAATACACCTGGTTTCAGTGACCATACCACAGGATTCACAAGATGTAAAAATCTCGCATCTCTCTCAATATATATTAAGTAGTCCATTGAACTGAATTCAGCGTCTCAATTTAATCTTTGTTAGCAAAAGCTACTTTTGCTCTGAGGTTTTAAGTGCTGCTGAGACCAACTCGTCTGCTAATCCCCATTCTTGAAGGAATTTGTCCAATAAAACTCCAAAAATATGTCTCGGAAATACTTATAATTGGCTACAGCTTAATATATATACATACACATAAAATACATAATATATATAGCCTACAGCTTATCTCCATTTATGTGGCTTGTCCACGTAGACCTGGCTAACTTTACATATCATCCTCATTCCTTTGAGTACCATGAGGGGCTCCCCCTGTGTCCATAAAACAAATCACATTTCTTACTTACCCTATTTTAGCTAGCCATGACATTTTGGGTATTTTGGCTACTGAAACTACTTTCTTTCAAAGAAATAGTTTCTGAAAATAGCTGACCATCATGTGTTGTGTGGGTTATTCAGTGTAAATGGGATGTCTGTTTCTAATAGATACAATACTGTGAGCACAACAGACAAAATTATATTTTCTTCCATTGCATTGTGAGGTCAAGGAATAGATCTCAGAGACAGATAGACAGGGTTGTTAGTTTGTTTTTTGTTGCATCTGAAATTTAAGTGAACCAACCCTTAAATTGCTGAAAACTGCAAGTATTTTTTCCCATTGAATACAGGGGGTAGCTATTAACCCATTACAGCTTTACTCAAGTACAAGTAGGCTACCTCAAAATTGTACTGTAGTAATGTACTTGAGTAAAAGTAATTAGTTACTTTCCACCTTTGCAAACAAGGTTAGATTTATGCCCAAGGCTGGCTGGCCAAAGCAGGCTACTGCCCTGCAGCCTGAGGAGCAGGACATCCCCATGTTGTAAATTTGATTAATCACAAATTTGTTTATGGATTCGCATCAATAAAGTAAATTAATTGGGGTCTGCATTATGCTCTATGATGTGGTCTTATAGAGGGGCGCTGTGTCAAGAAATAGTTTTTCTTTTTTTAAAGTTATTTTTTGTAGTACATGATACTAGTGTTGTTCCAGCAGAGTACAGGTTGGTTTCTGGGTCTATGGGCAAATAATGAAGCTACCCTCTATAGTCTGCTGTATGCAATGTATTTGATGGGAATTTGGAGGGGACCCCATTGCAGGTTTTTTTTCTGGGGGCCAAACAGGATAATCCAGCTGTGTTTGCCAATTTTGGAAGTATTTTCAAACAGTGTTTCACTTTTATAAGTAAGCAGGCTTCATTGCTGAGAAAGTAATATGTCATATATGTGGGCTCTATACAGACTTTATGGTTATATCAGGCTGAATAATGCCTGTGATGTGGAGTATACAGTACCTTTCTTAGTAGTCATAAGACTAAACACTACTTTACAACTACTACAGGTTAGCTTTGTATACATTTGCACTAACCTCTTGATATTAGTAATAATACAAATATATGTGACTTTTCATAATAAATCATCCCTGACCCCAATGACATTTTGTTTGTGGCATTGCTGGCTATGGCTGGCAACATACTAGAAAATAATGATGACTTCTCAAATGTGCTTGTATTTAAAAAAACATGTATTAAAACATTCTGATACAGTTTGCACTATCTGCAGTCTTGCTCTAACTGCATGTCTTAGTCAAGTTCTAGAATTCAATGTATTATCATTATTAGTATAGACTGTTTTTCTGTGTGTACAATCCTGCCCTGAATGTTAATTTTGTGAATAATTATATCCTAAATGACCTGAGGTCAGGTGGATTATATATCTCTAAATTCCTAACTGTAGATAACAGGATGACGATATAATGGCACTGGGTGACCATTAAATTGCTTATATTTCGAATTTGTAATTAAAATATTACCACATCTATTTGACTCTCACTTATCTTTCCAGTCATATTTTGACCCTACTGCCACAGAATATCCAAGTGGGCAGAACAAAGCTTCATATATGAAGTCTGCCACCTAACATAGGTCAAAGAACATTAAAACATGGTGGGTAATAGGTCCGTATTGTTGTATTAAACTTTTGGAAAAAAAAAATAAAAAATTCAGATAAAAAAATGTGTGTGTGTGTGGGGGGGGGGGCGTACTTGCTTTGTACCACTTTCCTACACACAAACTTAGTGTGTAAATGACATAGCCTAGTTCTTTTACAAGGAATATGAAAGTAAGCAATAATAATATATAAAGCAAATGACTCATTTTTATTTAACACAGAGCCAAAACTTAGTGTAGTTTTGCAGGTCTTTTGCTGGGATAGTCTTTTGTGACACAACCCACCAAACCAACTGCTGCTGGGTGTGGATGAAAAAACCTGATGTTGACAAGATAAGAGTATATTATTACTTTTTAATAACTAAAGTTCCGACTTTAGTCTCCAAACTATCCTTTGTCCAGTCACTCAGCCATTATTCTATTTGCCACTGTGGCCTGAGAGCATGCATGCAGGCAGACATTGCAGCCAAACCTCACTGCTGTGTTCATCCTACTTTAACTGACGCTGTGCTAATGAGTCAGAATAGCTGCTGGAGTGCTTTGGTGAAATATGGGACCCAACCTGCATGTTTTTTGGGTCACAGTGGCACTTGGTTGAGAGAATCAGAAAGTTTGGGAACACCATATTGTTCCTCTGCCTCACTGCGTGATGTGTGACGTCACACAGGACCTCCCATACGCGGAAAAAGCTCACTTTCTCCCCTCTGCCCGCCCGGAGAGAGGGAGCCAGAGTCCGCATGGCTGCAGTCTCCAGCGTGCTCCTTGCGGTGCTTCATATTTGACAGAAAGTAATGGTTGGTGTGTTTGTGTAATGTCAAACAGTTTCGTTTAGACAGAAGGACTACGTCTTAATGTTGTTACAGTGTTTTTTATTTTTATCCTTTTACCTCTGACGTTTTACATCGGAGCTTAGTAAGGAAATGATTCCAGGTAATGTCGTGTCACAGACTTTCCTGTAAACCTGTCCTTCCTCCTTGGAGTTTTAGAAAAATCTTTTCTATTTCATGCATGTGTTTTAATGCTTTTTTAATACTCTCCTGTACATCCTGTATCCTCTTTTATGTGTTACCTAGAGATGTGGAGATTATGTGAGTCTCTTTAAAAAACAGACACACAAGCTTTATGGCTGAAAACGGACTGAGATAAAATAATGACTTGAAGTTTGTAAAGAGATCCAGAGAATTCTGAGCTTATGGGAAATTTAAAAAATAGGTGACATTTAAAGGTCTGCAATTATAAAAAAGTTATTTAATTGTGTTTTTTCTATTTTCTATACACCTATAGACATATACGTATATAAATCAAGATTGAAATGTGTTCTTACTCGCTTCAAAGCTAGAATTCGGGCCAGCCTATAGCTCACAGTAATCCTGCAAGTCCAACATAAGTCCTCAATAGATGTAAATAATTGTATTTGCATGCGTAGAGTCATTCATAAACATGTCAGTGTTATGAAATATATGGGGATATTAAAACTTTCTATTTAAATATCATGAATTATGGTCGCAAAAATGTGTCCCCATTTAAGGGGAACGCCGAGTATTTGGGTGTCTAGTGCAGAAGCCCATTCGTCATACGGACAATAAAGAGGGTTTTGCCTGACAGTGAAAATTTATGGTTGCCCTTCTTTGCCCTAATAACTCACATATTGTGTCACGGACTGACAGCCCTTGCAGAAAAACAGCAAGCCTGTTATCAATCACACATCTTTGCATATTGTGAAAAGTCCCCCTTTTCTGCCAGACAGAAAAACATTTGAAGGAATAGAGCTGCGCTCTTATTGACTCTTTCCCCTTCTTACAAACTCACATTAAATTAAGAACAACTGTTGGCCTATTTTTGGAGCAGTTGTTTATTTGTATTACACATGATCTAGTCATGAAGTACGACTTATATTAATAAAGAAGACAATTATTGCGTTTTTTAATTTGTCCATACACATTTGAGCCATGCAGACCAGTAAGGCTATAAGGCCTATAAGCTGAAACCAAGCTTTTTCAGCTGTTAGCTGAAAAATTGCTTTCCCCCCTCTTGATTAAGAGTCAGTTTTATTTCTAAACTGTTCTACTATTTACTATATGGATGACATGTTTGTTTTATTTTATTCACTTCATCCAAAATTGCATTTGCGGCAGATCATGAACTCAAAAGTGTGTTTTATTTATTTGGGTAAGTATTGTTTTTATTTTTTCCAAACAAAAAATATATTTGGCCCCTTGACTGTCCACTCCAGGTTTTCATGGTCTCCTAGTTGACCTGTCAAGCAGATTACCGCAGAAAGAGATTAATGGCAGAGGCGGGTTGCAATAATAATCGTTTTGTTTGATGTGACAACTTTGATAGGCGTTGATTTACTTACAAACTGATAGGCTTTTAATTGAGCGCCTCCATCCCGATTGAGATGAAAGGGAAACCGCATTGAAAAGCTGCCCGATTGCCCTGAAGCCTCAATACTGATTAGCCATCTCAGCGGTGAATAGTTCAAGACATTTTAAACTTCTTTTCTCAACGGCCTGACAGACCATTTCTCTTCTTTTCTTTCGCCCTGTCCGCTTTTCTACCTCTTAGAAAAAATAAATTATTTTCATTGTATGTAAATAAAATCGAGCTGACATCAATATAAAATGTCTGGATTTCTTTTTTGTTCCCTGTCTTTGTTATTCTTGTTGCAGATGACAGTGTGCCTGAGGCAGATGACAGGTTTTAACAACACAATGGCAGACGCGTTTAGCCAAAA